GGTTCTGCTGTGCCAGCGTTCCAAGGGGCAGCTCACGGGTTCCAGGCACAGAGTGCTGCTGGGCAGCTCTGAAATCAAGGGGTTCCTTCCCTCCTGCAGATTGGGCAAGACTGAATACCCAGCACTCTGCTTCCTCACAGCTGGCAGCTCACGAGGTGTCAAAGCACAGCTTGTCACACCCCCACGGTCCCAAGATGAGCAAGCATAGCCCGGGTGCAGCAAGGATTTCTGACACCGCAGGGTATCTGGCGGGGAAAAGGCAATTCCCCAGCCTGGGGTAGCTCCAAGCAGAGTAAATCCCATCATTAGGCACTGCTGGCTTGCCCTGAAGGTCAGAAGTTGAGGCAGTTCAGAGGGTTTGGGAGCACTCACTTTGTTGAGGGTCCGAACGGCCGCGTATCTCAGGACGGGTTTGGAGGAACTGCAGAAAAGCTGCAACACTGGGCACAGAAAAAGAGAGTTTCTTTCAAAGAGAGGAAAGTATAAATTATCTCCACTCAACTGTGCTAAATATTCAGGCAGCTCTGTGCATAATTCAGTAGGTTAAAAGTAACCTCCTGGGGTTTCTCTCCTGATCAATAATGAGGGCGTGGCACAGTTGCCTGGGGCATGTCTGGGCATCCAGTTCTTCCACTTCCCACGGCCTGAAGGGGCTCCAGGAGAGCTGGAGAGGGACTGGGGGCAAGGCATGGAAGGACAGGACACAGGGAATGGCTTCCCAGTGCCAGAGGGCAGGGACAGATGGGATATTGGGAAGGAATTGCTGGCTGGGAGGGTGGGAAGGGGCTGGACTGGATTTCCCAGAGAAGCTGTGGCTGCCCCTGGATCCCTGGGAGTGTCCAAGGCCAGGCTGGAGCAGCCTGGGACAGTGGGAGGTGCTGGGGTTGGAACTAGATGGTCTTTCAGGTCCTTTCCAGCCCAAACGTCCATCACTCCCTCCCACCCCAAATTCCCCCAGCTGGCCCAAGGCAGGTCCCCCTGTGCCACCTCTGCTGCCCACTCTCCAAAGCCCTGGATGGAAGGGGAAAAAGGGATCCAAGTGCTCCTCATGCCAAAGCCCTTTAACTTGGGCAGGAGCAGAAAACTCGGGGTTTGGGGCCTTGATTTCTGCTGTCCTGCCTGTGCTGTGCTTTATTCCCCCTTTTTTGAGGTGTCAGGGGCCCTGCCCCACCTGAGACGGCGGGTGCCAGCTCCCTGGCAGTGCAGTTGGGGAGGTGGATGATGGCAGAGGCGGCTTCATAAATCACCATCTCGTGCTTGTTCCTCAGGCAGCTCTCGATGAAGTCGAACAGGGGACTTTCGTGGCTGCAAAAAGAACCATTGGGGCTGGAAAAGCACCTGCCCAAGATCACCCAAGGCCAGCCCTCCCCCCAGCACTGCCCCAGGCTGGCTTTAACGCTTCAACCCCACCCTCACGCTGCAGCTCTACATTTACTGTCACTTTATTCACCTTTGCAGGACCTTCCTCCAGCCAGAAATGCTGCATTCTACCAATCAGCACTTCCATCAGCACACAGAGAAGTGCACTGAAGAGCCAGCTCTCAATTCACAACCTTGTGCTGGCTCTGTGGAAAACTCTCGGGATTCCTGTCGTCTCCCACGAGCCACAACTCTTGTTTTTCCAAAGAAAAAGGTGGAAAAGGCAAACCAGAGGGGCTTGCTCTGAAGTTCCCAGCGCTCCCAGGACAGCACTACTAAAAATCCCCGTCCCCAGCTGAGCCGTCCTGCCCCTGTGTCCCATTTGAACTCGACAGGCCGGTCCCTGGGGGTGTTTTCAGGCACTGATGCCTGCAAGGCTGATTAACCTGGGCCCCCCCGTGCCTTTCTCTCCCCTTACCCCTCGTCGCTGTCCCTGAGCAGCTTGCTGGCGATCCTGATCAGCATGCAGTAGGCAAACTGCGACTTCAGCCCGGCCTTGGTGAACTTGGTGAGCATCTTGGACACGGCGAGGCGGTCGCTCCTGCGCAGGTGGTACAGCACCCCCAGGGCGTGGTACTGCGGCATGGGACACGAGGGACACGCTGAGCGGGGCTGGGACACACCTGGGCACGGCTGGGACACACCTGGGCACGGCTGGGACACACCTGGGCACAGCTGGGACACACCTGGGCAAGGCTGGGACACACCTGGGCAAGGCTGGGACACACCTGGGCACGGCTGGGACACACCTGGGCACGGCTGGGACACACCTGGACATGGCTGGGACACACCTGGACATGGCTGGGCACGGCTGGGACACACCTGGGCACAGCCTGGGACACACCTGGGCACGGCTGGGACACACCTGGACATGGCTGGGACACACCTGGGCACGGCTGGGACACACCTGGGCACGGCTGGGACACACCAGGACAGAGCCTGGGACACACCTGGACACAGCTCCTGCCTCCTGCAGGAACCCCCCAAGCTCCAGAGGGAGGAGCTGCCCCAAAAATTCCTGCAGGGTTCCCTTTGCCCTTCCTGCCCGCCCCAAAGCCTCGGGTGTTTCTCACCCTGAACACCATCAAGTATTTCAGAACATCCAAAGGGCCCCAGGGTTGATTTGGTGCCTTTTTCTCCCCTTTAAATACTTATAAATATTTAATATATACACTGTATATATTACATAGATAATAATATAAAATAGTACACATTATGATAAGTATATATATCCGTATATATTGTATGTTAAATTACTTATTATTATAAGTGTATATTATATATAATTATTATGGATTATAGTCTATTATATATTATTGTATATATTATCTCTATAGAGATATCCCACTATTTACCAGGGACAGGGAAGGGCAATGCCCTCCAGAGCCAGCTCTTCATCAACAACACAGCGCTGGGACTGGGGAAAACTCGGGAGTTTTGGAAATGGCCATTCCTGGTTTTCAGAGAATAAGGGGAAAACCAGAGCCAGGCACTTTTTCCAGGGTTTTTTAAAGAATTCCCAGGATACCACTGAAGCCCAGGAGCGTGTTTGGGGTCTCCTGGCACGGCCACCCCCAAAACACACCTGCACCATGACGTTGTCACTGGAAGCTGCTTCCTGGGCCTCGTTGATCCACCGTTTGACCACGTCGTAGCTGATCTTCATCATGTGCTGGAAGAAGACACAAACAAACTCATGTGGGATTTACCAACCTCTTCATCCCACACAACTAAAAAAAAACATGTTTTTCTTACATTTCAGCCTCAAACTACCAAACTTTCACCTCTGTTTTGCTTTTAAATAGAAATATTAATGAAGGAGAGCTTTCCCTGCCTTTTCTCCCACACAAGGCAGAGGAAAACAAAAGCAAACTTCTTCCTCTTGCCCTCCTGGCACAAATAAACCTGAAGGGGTCAAATCCTTCAATCCTTAAAAAAGATGGAGAGATGATGAACATTTTGCAGTAAATTATTACAATGAATGTGCTCCAAAGCAAGAGAATGTTGAAGGAGTTTGGGAAGACAAAGGAAACTCCATTGCCACTGTTTTTATGTCCCAGTGAGGAGATGAAGGATCATCTCCAGGGAAAAGGAGATGAAGGGTCACCTCCAGAGAAAAGGAGATGAAGGATCATCTCCAGGGGAAAGGAGATGAAGGGTCATCTCCAGGGAAAACGAGATGAAGGGTCACTTCCAGGGAAAGGAGATGAAGGGTCACTTCCAGGGAAAAGGAGATGAAGGGTCATCTCCAGGGAAAAGGAGATGAAGGGTCATCTCCAGGGAAAAGGAGATGGAGAAAGAACAAACCCAGCTAATTGCAGCCCAGATTTTAAATAACTCCGTGCTTTACTCACCAGGGAAGACACGAGAGCAGAGCTGGACACGCTGGGCACCCTGTCCACGATGGCCTGTTTCATGTACCTCTCGATGGCCTGCAACATCGTTCCCTGGGGAGGGGAAAGGAGGGAACGGAGGAGGTGTGGGTCCTTTGGAGGAAGGGAAGGGGAGGGAGGGAGCAGAGACACCAGCAGCCTGCGGGGTGAGGGGCAGGTGCTGGCAGAGCAGGAGGGGCTGGGCACTCACGTCAGTGATCCTGCAGAGCGCCCGGATGGCCGGCCCGCGATACACGTCCTCCTTGCCCGTCATGTCCTTGGTCAGACTGTGGGAACACACCCCCTGTGAGACCCTCCTGCACACCTCCTGCTCTGTGACAGACCTCCCTCATGTCTTCTTTGATAGCTCCTAAATATCCCCTCAGTATTCCCTTCAATCACCCCCTTAAACCATCGCCGGGATATCTCCTTTAACACCTCCTTAAAACACCTCCTTGATATCTCCTTAAATCATCCCCTTAAACCATCTCCTTAAACCATCCCCTTAAACCATCCCCTTAAACCATCCCCTTAAACCATCCCCTTAAACCATCCCCTTAAACCATCCCCTTAAACCACCCCCTTAAACCAGCCCCTTAAACCAGCCCCTTAAACCAGCCCCTTGACATCTCCTCTAATATCTCCCTGATATCTCCTTTTGTGATACTCATCTCATCTCATCTCATCTAGTTGTCAGCACAGAACTGATAAGTTGGCTACAAACAGCTTCTTAATAATTACAATTCTTAATAAATAAAATCCTTAATAATTAAAATGCCTAATAATTAAAATGTGATTTAATAATAGTGGAGTTCAGTTCGCTGAACAGCTCAAAAATACACCCAATAGAAAATATAAGTAATGTAAACACATATTGTAAAATACAGATAATAAAAATACATAAAGTATATATAAAATAAAGTGGTTGGCACATGCTACAGAGCCCATTTTTGCCCTTGCAACAACAGCAATGACTATTTTATAGTCCAAAAAACTGATAGTTCAGCTGGGAGACTGAACTGGGCTTTTCCCTGACACCAAGTGAAGTCACAGCTTAAGCTGCGACAAATCCATGGAGCACCAATAATTTCAAAAAACAACCCCAAACCACAAGTAGCAACCAGCTGCTAATTTCTGCAATTAAAAAAAAAAAACCTGCCTGTAATTAAAAACATTCTTGTAATTCAAAAACCCTGCAGCCCTTTTGGGCAAACACCGAAGGTGGCGAGAGAAAAACACCCTTTCAGGCGGTGCCTCGTAACTCTGTGCCCCCTTACAAAGCAGCAGTTCAAAGGAACACCTGCACAGGCAGTTTCAGAGCTCTGATTCTGGGGGTTTTTTTGGGAGTGCCCCCACCTGCTCGTGACAATGATGACGTCCTCCGAGATGTTGGCCATCTCCTTGATGGTGAGGTAGCACATCCTTCGAAGGGTTTGCTGCCAAAACACGGCAGAGGAACGTTAAACTCCATAAAACCCACTCAGAAATATCCTTCCAGAAGCTGCAGAACTTGAAGAAACCTGAAATATTTCACTGGAAAAGCTAAAAAAGCTTTTAAATGGAACGTGTTCTGTTCAAAGTTCTGAGCAGGATGTTTTAAGCTACATTTGATATGTGGGTGACAGCAAAACCCCCTGCTATCAAATCAGAAGAGATAAATATCCTGTGAAATTGTAAGAATCAAAAGAAAACGCACATGAATTACGTCAGAAGTGACACGTCACATCTGCAGGCAGAAGCCTCACAGTTATCAGTTTAAAAGCTTGAAAAACGACTTCCTTTGTTACTGCTAACCTTGTTACTGTAAGTGTAAATCTTAAAAAAAAATCCATATTCCTATGTTCAAAAACCCTCTAAATGTGGGTATGAGGAAGGTTCCAAACAGTCTGTACTCCCAAAATCGTTATTCCACCTTTAACCAGTCACACGTGGACAAATCCCTAAAAACAAATCAGGCCGATTTTAACCAAAATTAACGAGACCCAACACAGGAAGCGGCCCGAGTTTTCCGAAGGGATCCCAGCAGGCCTCTCATTGTGCTGATTGCCGAGTTTAATCCGGATTTCAGGATGTTCTCACCCCTCAGCAGGGGAGCTCAAGCCCCGGTGGTGCCGGGAACAGCGGCGGTTGATCCGCAGGCAGCCCCTTCGTTCCCGAGCACACGGGGGGGAGGGTTGCAGGTAAAAGCAATGATTATAATCACCCTGATTTGTGTGTGTTGAGCCTCTGTCATCATTCACAGCCTTAACAATTCCGCTCAGAGCCCACCAAAACCACCCACAGAAGAACCGCCTGATTATTGAGCCGCTTGTTCCGACTCCACGATTCCAAAGCAGGAATTGCCTCCCACGTCCCGAAATCCCAACCGCCCGAGCAGCCCCTGCGAGCCCAGACAGAGGCAGGGAGGCAGCAGAGCAGCAGGTACTCACATCGTTAGACTGGAACAGCCTGGTCATGGCAAAAAACGCTTCCGTGGCCTCCGTGGTTCCCAAGTGCTCGCCCTGCAATTCCCGTGGAGGGAGTGAGGGAAAAGCAGCGTCGGCACTGAGCTGCCTCCACCCCCCACCCCCATTTTAATCCCTTCCCACACACCAGGAATCTTTCCCTGCAGATTTTCCCCTCCCTCCCCTTCTTTCCCAGGGCATACATGTCAAGTTTACCGCTTGGCTTTCAATACAAATCCCATTCCCAGCGAGGGAGTGGTTTGCCAAGTCATTTTCCTGCTGACAGGATGAGCGGGGAAGCTTCTTTCCCTCTGAAAGCTGGTGGGAATGAGCCTCAGGAATATTCCCTCTGGCTGGGAAGAAATCCCAGCGGTTACCTGGTTCAGCAGGTAAAGGATCTTGGTGAGGATGTGAAGGCATCTCCGTGGGTTTATGGGGGTCTCGTTGAAGATCCGTGCCTGGAAACGTGGAATAAAAACAGTAACTATTTCTCTTTCACCTCAAAAAGTGAGGAAATTTTCAACCAAGCCGCTTATAATTTTTATTCAGCTCTAAATATCTCTCCCTTCTGAACACGTGTCCCAGAGAACACGTTCCTGTCGTTCAGCTCATCCACCTGCAGTCTGCTGGATCTGAACAACCACTCAGTTTTTATCACCTGGAACTAACCAAAACACCTCAAAAGAAAACATTTTTAATTCAGAAATAAAGCATTTCTTTCTCCTTCAGAAAGAGCCCCCTGAGATGCCACGTGTCCACATGGATCCTGCCACCTAATTACCCCACAAAGCCCTCTCATTAAGTGCAGATGAAGTGACTTTATTTACATCCTCAGCGGTTTTAAATTAAACTACAATAATTTATCCATTCACGTTTCCTGAAGGAGAATTAAAAACCCCAGAGTTAAACAGCATTACATCCAGACTATTCCTACCTCCTGGAGCACAGCACTCTTCTCCAGATGCTGGAAGGGATTGGAGCCGCTACCTGAGGAACAACAGACCAGTTAAGGAAATCAAGGGGCATTTTCAACATAGCTGGAAGGTGAGGGAAAAGAAAGGTGTTTAATTAAAGTTATTTTGCTTTAATATCCTTTCACATAAAAGGATTTGCACCTTAATTTTTTTGCCTAGATCCCCTATTTTTATCCCTTGAGGCACCAAAAGCACTGAAGGCACCAGCTGATGATCAGGACCTGAGACAGAAGTGAAACCACCCCCCAGAGCCACCATCAGACACAAAACCCCCTACCAACCCTCCTACTGCTCCTGCCCCTCTTCCCCCAGCAGCAGTTCCTGATTTTCTGATCGTTTACTCCTCATTCTGACACCCCGAGCAGAAGGAAAGTGAAACAGAACAGTCCAGGCAGGGGAGATGCTGAAAGGCTCCTCTGAAGCCTTTCAGCATCTCCCCTGCCTGGACTGTTCTCTGAAGCCTTTCAGGGTTTGGTTGGGTATCAAAATGACTTTAAAAGTGTTTATTTGTCTTTACACATACTACAACACTGTTCAGGCGCGGATATAAACATAAATATAAAAATAAATACACAGAACCTCTTCCTGAAGGGAGGGAGCACCTGCACCGGGCAGAGATGGATAAAATCCTCTCTGTGTGCAAACAGGCAGAACCAGCAGGCCCCGGTTCCTCTGGATTTGGAAACACTTTGACCGTCAGTCCTTAGAGCAGAAGCACAAACACCCCAGAGCTGGGAAAGGCGGGAGGCCACGGAACGGTTCGGGCTGGAAGGGATTTATTTTAAGGACCATCCCGTCCCACCTGGGAGCGGCTCCTCCCACTCTCCCAGCTCGCTCCAGCCCGGCCTTGGACACTTCCAGGGATCCAGGGGCAGCTCGTGCCTGATCGTCATCACCCTCAGGCCCCTCCCGAGCCCCCCAGACCCGCCGTACCGGACTCCTCGTCCTTCTTATCGAACTTCTTGATCATGGCGGCCTGGCTCCCTCACGGCTCCCTCACGGCTCCCTCACGGCTCCCGCTCCCTCCCAGCGCCGCCGCCGCCTCCCGGCCCCGCAGGAAGCACCGCCCCCGCCGCGCGCCGCGCCCGCCGATTGGGCGGCGGGGCCGTCAATCAACCGCAGGGGCGGGTTCGCGCCTTTCGCGCGCTGAAGGGGCGGGGCCGAAGGGGAGGGGGAGTCTTAAAGGGGCCGCGCGCGGTGTGTGAGGGGAGCGAGGGGAGGAACCGGCGGGGCCCGCGGAAACACGGGGAAAAAACACGGAAATAGCACGGAAATAGCACGGAAATAGCAGGCAGCTCCCGCGGTAAAGCAGCCATTTGGGCCCCCTGGCAAAAACCAGAGTTCACGTGTAACTCATGTAACTCGTGTAACTCCCATGTAACTGACACGTAACTCGCATGTAACTCGTGGAGCTCACGCACAATTCGCACATAACTTACATGTAACTGAGATGGAACACACATAACTCGCGTGTAACTCCCATGTAACCCCAATTCAACTCACACACTATTCACATGTAACTCCCATGTAACTCATGTGTAACTCCCCTGTAACTCCCATGTTATTCACATGTAACTCCCATGTAACTCATGTGTAACTCCCCTGTAACTCCCATGTTATTCACATGTAACTCCCACGTTATTCATATGTTATTCACCTGTAACTCCCCTGTAACTCCCATTTTATTCACATGTAACTCTCATGTTATTCACATGTAACTCCCACGTTATTCACCAGTAACTCCCCTGTAACTCCCGTGTAACTGCCACGACAAACCCCCCCTCAATCCCCTTGGCCACCAAAGGGCCTCAGGCTGTGCCAGGGGAGTTTCGGGTTGGATTTTGGGAATATTCCTGCCGGGAAGGGGCAGGGCTGATCCCCATCCCCCAAATCCCTGTGGATGTGGCACCGGGGACACGGGTGGGTGGGTTCAGTGCCTGGAATGTCACATCCCTGCCCGGGATCCGTGTCCTGGGATGAGGGAACTTCAGCTCACAGCTCCATTTATAAGGAATTTTCTTCCCAAAGCTGGGTTTTTCATGGAATTTTTGTTCCGTGAGCATGACAAGTTTCTTATTTCCATCACATTTTCCCTACTTTTCTTGCTTATAATACCGGCTCCTTCCCTTCCCATGGGATTTTTCCCACTCTAGGGCCTCAGTGTGGTCATTCACAGGGATTTAATACTAATTACAGGGGATTTGTATTAATTGTGGTCCTTTCCTGGGCTGTTTAAGGGGGGTTTAATGGTCCAGCCCCCAACTTTGGGCAGGACACGAAAGATCCAAGGGATCATTCCCAGCATTTGTTCCCACTGGGAACAAACCCAGCTCCCGGCACGGGCACTTCTTCCTGCAGGATCCCTGAATTAGGATAAAGCAAATTATTTCCCAATTAAAAAAACCCAACCAACCAACCAACCAACCAACAAACCAAACACAATCCCAATAGTCTGGAGAGATGAAAGAATTAATTCAGTGCCTTTTTCCCTGGAACTAGGGGGGGGAACCCCAATCCAAAACCATCCCAGAAGCCCCAGAATTTATTTAAATATTTTATTTATTTATAACATCTAAATATATAACATTTATTTAAATGTTAACCTTCCCTCAGCTTCCAGAGGCAGCAGGTGGTTGCTGCTGTGCTCCCTCCCAGTCCTGGAATGGTTTTTTCCTCAGGCCAAAGATTTCAGTTTTCAAACCACCCCCAGACAGAAGAACATTTATTATTTTATTATTATTATTATTATTATTATTATTTCCTTGGAGGTGTTCCATAATTCTGTAGCTCCCAGCCAGCACTGCAATTTCTCCCCGGATCAGGAAAACCCTCCCTCCCTTCCTCTTTGTTCCCTATTTTGATTTTCCCAGGTGCCCCAGCTTTGGGACAGGGGCTGGGCCAGCCACTCTGAATTAATTCACAGCGATTCTGACCAGAGCAGATTGCTGGGAAATCATTCCATTTACAGTCAGCAGGATGAACCACACCCCCCTCCCCAGATATTCCCAGGAGACAGGAAGATTTTGGGATGAACTCACATCCTGAGAGCGTTTGGAGCAGGAACACCTGCCGGAGGTGACGAGAAATGAGGGAATTCCTGGCTAATTCCCTCAGGGAAAAGCAGAGCAGACGAATCATTCCCGCTCCTTTGCTGCGTCCTTTCGCTTTCTGTTGGAAAGGGAACCCAAAGGGACATTTTTTCCCTCCTCACCCCTGCTGGTACCTCCAACCAGGCAGTTTGATTTCCCTTTGAACTCCAATCCTGGACCCGAATCCAGCTTTTCTCACCCCAAAATCCCGCTTTGGTTCGGGAGTCGCGGCCGACACCGCAGCCCTTCCCTCCGAGGACAAAGAGGTGAATCCCAGCAGAGCTCCTCAACCCCTTCAGGGTGTGCTGGTGCATCCCCCTGTGCTCCCCCCCTGGAATTCCCACTCCCCATCCCACATGGATGGCCAAGTGCCCCCCCCCCGACCCCTCCGGCTGGGCAGGACGGGAATTCCCGCAGGGCAGAGCTGGCAGTGAATTGTCCCTGCCAGGAACAGCCACTGCCCAGCAAGGGGAGGGAGGAGGGATGACCAGCTGATCCCTGAAAAACCCCTCCAGCAGCTTCCCAGCTTGGCTTAGGCCAGGAGGGGAATTCCCTGATGGCTGAAGGCGGTCATGGAATCACAGAGTGGGTCTGGATGGAAAGATCATCCCATCCCACCCCCTGCCACGGACAGGGACACCTCCCACTGTCCCACTGCTCCAGCCCAGCCTTGGACACTCCAGGGATCCAGGGGCAGCCACAGCTTCTCTGGGAAATCCAGTCCAGCCCCTCCCCACCCTCCCAGCAGGAATTCCTTCCCAATCTCCCACCTGTCCCTGCCCTCTGGCACTGGGAAGCCATTCCCTGTGTCCTGTCCCTCCAGGCCTTGTTCCCACATCGACGTCTCAATCCTTAAATCAACTAAATGTG